TTAATTAAGTATACTTCAATTTTAATCTAAAAATTATGCAAGGATTTAAAATTAAAATAATATATAATTTTTTACTTTCTTTAAAGCTCTCACTAAATCTCCATACTCTCCGTTTTCTATTTTTAGAGCTTTGGATAATATTCCTTCCAACATATCTATTGCTTCTTTACGTTCTTGCCATTTTTTTGCTTCAAGCTTTTCATAAAAATCTTTATTAAGCTGGGAAAGTATATTTACTGGTTCAATATTCTCTTCAATATCATCAACTTCATCAGTGCCTTCCTCAAACATCACACCTATTATTATTGAGTGTTTAATATTTTATACATTAAATTTATAAGCATCAATTTACTTATTATTAAATTTACCTTCATTAGAAGCCTCTTCTTCAACCATTTTAGCAGCTTGCTTTTTTTGTGAATGTAAGAACCGTGTTGGCCGTGGCTTCTCACAACTAACTCTTTCAAATTCATTCTCTAACTCTTGAATCTAATTTAAATGTTAATTATCTTGATTAATCATTTAAAATTTAAGCAGACAACTAGGTATTTCTACTTGTAAAGGTTTTAGATTTGATAAAGAAGCTTTAACCAGTGTAGGCCCAATCCAAGAATAAATTTCAATTGTCAACAACTTTGCTTCATCTCTAACACTTTTATCCCTATCTTCAAGTATTAGTTGTAATTTTTTCAGTAATGGTTTAATGTTTATAACTTTTGATCCGTATTGTCTACAGTAAATACAAAAACAAAACAAATTTAATAATAAATCTTGAAGTTACTAAATATTTAATAAATATAATATCTTTTAAAATTTAAAATTAACATTAATTTTTATAATAAAAATGTAATTTTTAAAAGTTAAAAATTTTAATTTTTTTAATTTTTCAAATTTTCTTTGTTTTTTATTACAATGAAATGTTGGTACTTACTTAATGGCTTGAGTTGCAGCTTTAATACAAGTTGAAACAATTTTAGGAAATTTATGGTCCAGTCCTTTAACTAATTCTTCTATAACCACATCTTGCTTCTCAATTTCAATAAACATCAATGTTATTTGTAAAGCAATATCTTTAGTTTTTAATTTTGGTGCACCATAACATTTTGTTATTAATCCAGTCATGACATCTCCAGCCGTCCTATAAGTAAAATGTATACACAACATAATATGTAATATTTAAAATAAAAGCTAGGTTTATACAACTAACCGTCCAGCAGTAGCACAGTTTTCAACAAAGGCCAATGTGGCTTCAAGACCTTTTTCCTGTGCAATCGCATTGCTGTCAACAACAAACTTCTTAATTATATCAGTAAATTTGTTCCATTCATGATCTTTTTCATCCAATTGTCTGAACAATTTAATAGCTTCTTCATAACCATTTATCCTGGCTTTCCATAACTAAAAAATAAACATAGATAAGTACATATTAGTATAATAAAATTATAGTACCAGTTATTAATAATATAAATAGGTATTCAATTAGTGATGATAATGAAACTTTAAATTGTAATATTTATTATGTGAAAATACCAGCATCATAAGTTATTAATATGTATACTATACAATACAAACTTATTAATTACAATTTTTTTTTATAATTAATTATTATATTGTATCAACGCAAGAAATATAATTTATTTAATACAAATAAAGCAAAATATTACTTTATGTACACATCGTTCCTCAATAGACAACTTTGAATAAGAATTATCTTCTTCTGGAGCAGTCATTTGTTCATTGAGTAGGTACAGTCAATAATAAGTATAGATTCTTGATAATTATCTTTAGTTTATTAGTAACCTGAATCAATATTTCAAAAAATATTATTTTATGATTTCATTGGTATTATTAAGGATGTATAATCACTGAATCTTCACATTCAAGCATCACACAAAATCTTACAAAACACCTTAAATTATACAATTTTAATAACTATAATTTAGACATCGTCGGTGTAAAATGCAATTAAATAACAAAATTAAACGTAATTAGAGCTTTAAAATAAATTATTTAAACTATACAAATACAATCGACGGTTACTAGTTTAAAAGGTAATTGCGCATTTGCCATATAATATCAAGTGAAACTTCTGAACAAAATGAAATATTGCAATACGAAGAGACAAAATGTAATTTAATAATAGTTGATACCTACCAAATAATCAAATGGAACTCGCGATAACAACGATAATTCCCAATCGAGATCTAAAATTACCAATATAACTGAATACCTCCATTGAATTTATTGAACATAATAATTCTTAAAAATTAACTAAAACCTATTAATTAAATGCCTACTGCCTGTCTACACTTGTATGTGTGTGAATGTTCGCGTATACCAGAGAACCAAGAAGGTAGGTATTAGTCGTGTTGACATTATACAATATTATTGGCAGGGAATTAAAATTTTCGATTATTATAATCTTCACATGATTTAACAGTCCAACAATGAAAGTCTCTCGTCCGTTCAAATTGCCATACTTGAAGAACGCTGTAAAGTGCCTACCTATTTAATTCAACTAGTAGATATATAAAATAAAGTTTACCGCTTGAGTGTCGAGTCCGTCACACAATCTATACGGACGGATAAAATTCTCGTTTGTAAAAGGTACTAAGATACGATACAAATGTATGAACAAAAAAGTGCTGTTTCGCGAAATACAGTTTGAGTTTATTTTCGTTTCAATACTATAAACGGTCAGAGGGCTCCGAAAAATTTGACCGGTTGACCGTGCATCGCGCCAGTTTTCGAAAATGGCCGTTTGTGGTGAGGACGCGGTTTGCGGTACAGGTTGACAACGAGCTCGTGGGCGGTACTGAAGAAACCATCCAGAACGTGACATCGCAGCGTCACGATTTTGTGTTCAAATGCCTGCCGGAAGCCCAAAGGCAACGGGCCGCCGGGCCTGTGGAAACCATAGGAAATTTTATCGACACTTCAAAAAAAAATTTTCAGAAAAATTGTAAATTTCAGTTGTCTATAAATCGCTCAAAAAAAGTCAAAATATTTTGAAAATTAAATCATGTAAAGAAAATGCCAATCTAAATAACTGGTAAATTGTTCAAGTATCTACGACTTATACTTTTTTAATATTAACAAATATTTAAAATCGTTATCGTTACGTTATTTCGTAAGAATTTAAAATTCAAACGCACTTAAAATTTTTCCTATAATAATGCTTCGAGTTTTTACTATAGCTACTTGAAGGAAAACATAGTGTAGTATTTTTAATCCTTAGTAATAAACACAAAAAATTTAATGATTTTTCAACTTTAAAATTACTTACAAATTTTCGCGATTTCGATAGATTTCGTAAATATTTGAACTATAAACATTTATAAAAAAAAAATTGTGATCAATGATTTTTAATTTTTTTTAGCTATAACAAGAACAACTCATAAGGAACCTTGTATTAAATTTTCAAAATATTTTGGTCATCCAACATTTTTTTATCGACACTTCGAAAAAAATTCTCATAAAAATCAATAATTTCAGTGGTCTATAAATAACTCAAAAAAAGTCAAAAATTTTTGAAAATTTAACTGTATATAGATAACACTAACATAAACATTTGGTGAAAATTTCAAGTATTTACAGTGATTAGTTTTTGAATTACAACCATATAAAAAAATCGATTTGGTCGAAAACTGGTTTTGCGTAAAAATTCCCGTTTTTCCGTCATTTTTTTTTTTTTGTTTTTCTCAATTTTTTTGAAAAACGTTGTAAAATGTTTACTTTTTACCTCTATATTGCACCAAGGATATTCACTTTGCCATCGGAAACCACCCCCGAAATTTGAAATTGAATCATTGTTTAATGTTTTGACTACTTATGCTGTACACAGACAAAAAAAAAAAAACCACACATCATTGTAAAATCAATACATTCATCACTCCGTTCAGAATCTAAAAAGGGGTAACAGGAATATATTTTGAAACGTGGAAGGGATATTAATTATTTTTACTTTAATACTATATGTAATTTACTTAAATTTAAATATTGTTAATTTATAAATATATATATATATATATTTATTGTACCTACCTCATGTAAACGAATAAATAAATAAATAAATATTAATAAATATATAAAGTATCTTGTATTTAGATACTTTGTTTGAGGTATCTTGCTCAGCTCTGCCACTAGCCAGCTAAAAATTTTGAGAAGCTTATTTTATAAAAAAAAAAATTATCATGAGACTAATTCTGTGATATTACAATTAAATAGATTATAGGTACTGAGATGTTATTTATGGTATTGTAGGAGATAATGATACCAACTCATCTAGCACACCACCACTAAATTATACAGAAAATTAATATTAAATTAATTTTAAAAAAGACTACTGAAACAAGTTTAAAGAATAATTACAATTAAATATTTAGTGTTTGTTCGTGTAACCTGGTATATATCTTTAGTTAACATTATTAGTAGGGCTGCAAATTTGTAGGAAAGTGCATTTTTTTTCTGTGATAATGAAACATAGCTTTGCAAGTATATAATTTGAATTATGTAACAACACAAATCCATTCATGAAACTTTTATTTTGCATTTTTTTGACGTTTTTAATTTTTTAGGACACATTTAGGACATATTTAGGTTCATTTTCCAGCATTTTTAATTAAATTCATACAAAATAAATACATAAAAAAAATTTAAAAAATGCTTCAGATGAATAGCATTATACAAAATTCAATCATTTTTTAATGGTATTATTAAATCAATTTGTATACATGTAAAATGTTATGTATTAAAATATGTACAATATCCAATAACATCATTCTTATAATATAAAAATTAAATTAAATACTATTTTAAGTGTATTTTATACTATAATTTTTGGCATTTTATATTGGATTTTTTAAGGTTTTTAGTGTATTTAACTCATAGCCCTAGTTATTAGGAACATCGGTACTATAATATTTAAGTAACAATTAAAAATTAATATTAATTTAAACTTTTAACCTTATATTTATTTAACATGAAAAATAAAACAAAGTATAATGAAAAATGTTGAGTTGTGATATTAATAATGTGAATTAAAAACTTGAACATAAGAGGTTACTGTTACACCATATGTGTTTATTATGAAAACTAGATAAGTAAAATTGAATTGTCTTGCGAGGCTCATACGTCGGGTATAGTAGGACAATCCCCCACTATATATATACAAACATAATTTAATACATTTAATACATACAAAAAAATTAAAGTTGAACATTCAACATAATATTATACATGAGAAAAAATTTTAAATACACAAAAAAAAGACAAATATTATAGGAGAACTGGTTGTTCATGGTTGCGCATAAGGTCCAATTTCTCTTTCAACATATCCATCAAATATGATGACCGGTGTTGCTCAAAAACATCAAGAGGCCGTGTTTTTGATTAAGGCACTGTACATATTGGGATATTATATGAGTGGCATTAGCTCGTTCGGATCTTGATATGCCATCTCTGACCTAATAAATTGAATAATTTACATTATATTTTTAATTAATTAAAACAAGTTTAGTATTTTAACCATTTACCCTGAGATTATTCTGTACTTGATTGAACTCCACTGAAAACTGATTTTCAATGTAAGTTAATTTACCTAAAACAAAACATGGCTGATTAATGATTACTAATGGATAGCAATTGAATATAACAAATAATAAATTGTACACAAGTCACCAATAAAAATAGACACATTATTTAAATTCAAACAAAATATTAAATTGAACAAACGTTGAACCCAAGGTAAATTAATCAAAAATAGATTATAGGTTAAGTTTGTCATACAGCAGACTTTCTAGGACACTACTAATTTGAAATGTCCTGGGTTATACATTTTAGTTGTTTCATACAGTGAAATTATAGTCTTATTATATAAAATTTTTAATTCCTAATTACATACACAAATCATTATTTATTTACAACAAAAATCTAATTATAGAATAGTATGGTGTAATATAAAAAATATATTATAATTATTTAAATAAGTTGAACACAAGCTAAAAATATATAAAACTGTTGATCTTAGTGTAGGCATTACAAATAAAATTAAACAACTACAATAGTACACAGAAGCATGCTTTAAAAAATGTTATCAACAATATAATAAATAAAACATCAATTGTTTTTAACTTAAATTAAAAAACATACAAATTTACTTACTCTTAAATATTATTGAACATATAAATCACAACACATATAATAACAAACATTTAGGACAAAGATATAACATAAAAAACACATCAGACTTTCTGACTCACGGAGGAAATCCAATGTATTAAGGTGTCGTCCCATTTGCGAAAGTAGTGTTGAATGAAATGATTCTAAGTAGTTGTTCGTACGATAATCTTCTGCAAAAACGCTGATTAACTCTGAACCAACCTGGAAAAACCAATAATGATCAATATATCCAATTAAAAAATGTCTCATAATCTGCTCAACTTCAGGCAATTATTGAACATACTGCATGATATCCCTGAAACCATCATATATACAAAACCGAGGATATAGAGGATGACCCCTAGCGGCAGGCAGATGAGGCAGTGCAAGAACC